CACTGTAATAGAATACATACCACCTTTTAGAAGATCAACAATGTATATCTCTTTTTCTCAACTGATACGTCTGCTCGCTTTTCCCTATAAATTTTTTACTGCAAATCTCGATTTCGACTTCGTTCTCCAATAATCCATATATGATTGATTTATTTTTTAATCGTACTGTTCTCTGGTACTTTTTGCATAGCCAAAAAGAAGTTCTTGATAAGTGCAATACTTTCATTCATCACTTTGATCATCCGCTCGTTCCGCTATTGCTTCTATCCCGGAGTAAATTCCACACTTTTACAGTATCAGATTAAAGAATGACAGTAACATATAAACCAATTTGTAATAAAAATTTGGACAATTATAGACAACTTGCAATTTATAACACAAGATTATAGTTTAAAAAAATATAGGTTATGGGACTGTATAAGTTAGCATGATAATTTGGTATTTTCAAACTGATTAGTATAAAATTCTTAATTCCCAAGTAGTACTATTTGTTAGTAGGGGCAAATGAAATTTATCCACTCAGAGAATATTAGAAATTTTAAACATATTGATATTAACAATGCACAACAGTTTCGGAGTTCGAAGTATTGTGCCGAGATCGTAAATTGTAGAGTGCAAACTATTTGACACAGGGTCAAGGATATAAGTTCCTCACTTCGCCTAATCCTCTCTAGAAATTCCCACCTTTTGATTCTTAACAATTATACTAGTTCAATATTACTAGATAATAATTCATACAATAACTAGACAATAATGACAATCCGTGTGACTGCAGGTGGTATAACTAATTTAATTCATCGACAACTTACAATCTCTGCATTGTATAAGTTCCACACTAATTTAGGGAATAAAACCTTTTCGATTGTGTAATAGTTCCCACATAATAAAAGCGTTTCAAGGAAATGAATTGTATACGACAATTCTCAGTCAAGACGTTGCTGGACTTATAAAGTAAAATCACTCCAACGATGTCATTAGCCAACTTACATTCTCGTAAAGTTTTTCTATTTGTTGATAGGATCATCGAGATAGTTTGTATTTTGAAACAATCCACCTAGTGAAATTATGACGTCTGAAGTATGTATGCTATGATCAATTAAGAAAAAATAAGAAACAATAGGTGTAAATCGACTAGGATGATTGAATGGGAATAAAATGAGTTCTTATCGTGACAAAGCTAAATCACACATAGAAGAAAATGGATAAAAAAAATTGTGTGAAGTTGGCTGAGAAGTGACATGTTTATTTTACAAATATTATTCCACTAATTTCCACTTACTTTGTGCATTGCAACATTTTTTTTATAGGTCAAGTATTGTACATTTTAATGAAAAATCAAAGAATATAGCAACAATATATTAAAGTTGTAAAAAAGAATGAACGGAGTTATTAAGTAAGAAGATTATGACTACCTATTTTAAATGTCTAAATTTTAGAATTCAGTACGAACTTATGGGATGACCTAATACTACTATATGTATATAGATACAGTCTTCATTTTCAAGCGGAATGTGTAGATGAAGTTATTTGTATTTAATCATTATACACGCGTCTATTCTTGTTACACGGTTTGAAATGAGGTGTTTGGAAAGAGTAAAGGCGAATACTTAATAATGGCATGTTTAGGGGTAAATGCGTTTTTAAAAATTATTCATAAAAACGTACTCAACAAAAAGTTCTGGTACCTTTATAATTATATTAAAATTAATACTACGGTCAGGGGCAAAAGAAAGTGGACAGGTGATGAAGATGAATATCAATGAAATTTAATCTGTGTTACATGATCAAGCTTTATTTATTATTTATCTTTAGAATATACAGATTATTTAATTAACAATTTTAATATGAACACTTTATATAAACTCAAATTGAGTTTAAACAAGATATGCATCAATTACAAGAGTACAAAAGCAAGTGGACACTACTGATAACAGATAATTAGTACTTAGTATTGTCATCTTTTGCTTTAAAGGGTTACACCACGATGAATATCTTAACATCATATCAACTTTTTGCAATTTTTTCTTAGGAAATCAAATAAATGAAAAATTGCGTAATATGTCCATTATTATACAACTATTAAGAAATACGTACATATTTTTTCTTTAAATACAAAGTGGCGATGATGAATTCGCTTTGTTGTAGCACCTTTTCATGTAATGACCCTCTATAATCGTTCCGACAACGGTCACACTTTTTGAGCTGGAACCAAAAACTAAAATTTTTTTGATTCTGAATAAAATTTGTTAGCGATGTACGTTGGATTTTTGCAGAAATTGTACATGTTTGAAAAAGAAACGTCGAATTCTAACAAAAAATTGCGCATAAAAATATTTGCAGCAGAACAATTTTTTAACACATCAGAAAACTCTTACGTACTTGGCTAGATAATTTAATAGAACAATTTTGGGGAAGTTTGAAGTTAATTAGATTCAAATCCTTTAAGCTATCGGTGTCACTAGTTTGAAAAATATAATTTTGAGAAAAACGAGTTTAAAATTGTAGTTCGTGATTTTTACTGTACAATACACGACTGCAATTGGCTTTAAACTCACGAAAAAATGGGAATTATACGTCTAGAACAGCGAGATATTATTTTAAGAACTACAAATTTTGCATATAAAAAGAATTCTATCCTAATTCTAAAAAAACTATCAATTCAGCAAATATATAAAAAGAAATTCGATTTTTTTATTTTCATCGTGGTGTAATCCCTTAATTGCTGTCTCTTATAGGCGAGGTATACTGTTTATAAGACTTTCTATACAATCTTTATCAATACTTTCAAAGACTGATCTTAAATTATTGAAGAAATTCATTTTATTCTGTCGCTCGTTCAAAAGAACTTTGGAATCCAATATACATCACAAATTCTATACTAGATTCAATTTAAGGCTTTGTGGTGGCCATTCGACTAATTTAATATTTGACTCGCTAAAAAATTTCATACCTTTTTGGCAACGTGCTTTAGATCGATTCCTGCTAAAGAATAAATTTTTCCTTTAAATTCAATTTTACTATTGGATTTTTCACATTTTCATTTATAACGTTAATGTATTCATCTCTGCATTCGTAATACCATCATTTGGTACTATAGTTTCAATCTCACTTCACGAGAACAGCCCCACATTAACAAAGAACCGCCATCAAATTTAACTGTGGATGTAACGAATATGTAATATGTTACATTTTTTCCTCCTCTAAACTTGTTGCTTTCTTTTTCATTGTTGCATCTGAAATTTCCATTCGTCGGACATTAATGTTTTCTCCTGGAATTATATACGCATGTCAATATACTTTTTTAAAAAAGCTAGACGTTGCTATAGATTTCTTTTCTGAATATGAGGTTTACGTCCAGCCCTGCAGGATTTTAGTTCTACCTCTTGCAATGTTTGTTTTGTTGATTTTGTTGATACATCTGTCCTAGTGTATTTACAATTTCGACATTTTTGAAAAATTCGACGGTATTTTTGTATAGTAGAAAGAGCGTGTTCGTCCATAGCGTATTAAATTCACTGTAGTATTGTAAACCAAATATTCTTTATACATTTTTTCCATCGTATATTTTGATACCACGTACAATACTTCTGGGATATATGTAGTAGAACAACTTAACTTAATACGACAGTTTGATGGAAATCAATTACGAATTTGATATGGTTCTATTTGTTTTCAAATGACCACTGGAAAATTGTATGCATTTCTTACCTCGCAATAATACGTTAACCGGCGATGTTCAGTTACTTTTGTCCTCTTATAATGGTTGCTTTTTTGTTTAAATTCAATTTGAGTTTGCATAAAGTGAAAATATTGATTTCCATTGTTAATTAAATAATCAACATACTCTGATGATAGGTAATAAGTAAAACTTAAATAAGTAACGTCGATCGAAAATCGAATTTCTTTTTATGTATTTGCTAAATTGATAGTTTTCTTAGAATTAGGATAGAATTCTTTTTATATGCAAAATTTGTAGTTCTTAAAATAATATCTCGCTGTTCTATACGTATAATTCCCATTTTTTCGTGAGTTTAAAGCCAATTGTAATCGTGTGTTGTACAGTAAAAATCACGAACTACAATTTTAAACTCGTATTTCTAAAAATTACATTTTTCAAACTAGTAACACCGATAGCTTAAAGGGTTTGAATCTAATTAACTTCAAACTTCCATAAAATTTGTTCTATTAAATTATCTAGCCAAGTACGTAAGAGTGTTCTGATGCGTTAAAAAATTGTTGTACTGCAAATATTTTTATGCGCAATTTTTTGTTAGAATTCGACGTTTCTTTTTCAAACATGTACAATTTCTGCAAAAATCCAACGTACATCGCTAACAAATTTTATTTAGAATCAAAAAAATTTTAGTTTTTGGTTCCAGCTCAAAAAGTGTGACCGTTGTCGGCACGATTATAGAGGGTCATTACCTGAAAAGGTGCTACAGCGAAGCGGATCCATCATCGCCACTTTGTATTTAAAGAAAAAAAGAAAAAAATATGTACATATTTCTTAATAGTTGTATAATAATGGGCATATTACGAAATTTTTCATTTATATTAGTCTCCTGAGAAAAAATTGCGAAAAGTTGATATGATGTTAAGACATTCATCGTGGTGTAACCCTTTAAGGCAAAAGATGACAATACTAAGTACTAATTATCTGTTATCAGTAGTGTCCACTTGCTTTTGTACTCTTGTAATTGATGCATATCTTGTTTAAACTCAATTTGAGTTTATATAAAGTGTTCATATTAAAATTGTTAATTAAATAATCTGTATATTCTAAAGATAAATAATAAATAAAGCTTGATCATGTAACACAGATTAAATTTCATTCATCTTCATTTTCATCATCTGTCCATTTACTTTTGTCCCTGGCTGAAAATAGTAATATTATACTAAACGTAACTTCATTGAGTTCATTGTTGCTCTTTCGAACACTTGAAATGTTTAAACGTAAATGAATTTGACTGAAATTAAACAAGGTATGTGTTTGATTCCAGGTGCCGTGCTCGCATTACACCGAAGAGATGTGCGAAATCGGAAGCAGTGGCGCCAGCATCTTTAGGGTGCAGACAATGGTACCGGTGGTGTTGCTGCTTCTCGCGAGGTACTTCACGTAAGTGGTTAAGCACCACTCGTGGCCGGAAAAGGAGGACGATTTCCGTGCACAACGAGCGCCGTGCTGAAACCGGGGCCCTCCGTTCGTTTTCCGCTTCCCATTCGCCAAAGTATTTTTTTTTTTTTCTTATTTTCGAAAAGAAACCAAGAAGAGAAAAGGGCACGCGCGCGAGCGGAGTGTCGAGTATCGAGAGGCATGGAGGAGGATAAGTGGAATGAGACAGAAAATTTGAGGGTGCGAGGTAAGCCAAGGGAGAACGCGATCAAAGCAACGACACTGCGAGAAGAGAAGAAAGTTTGCCACCCACGTTCTTCCGTACGAAGTTCCTCTCTGCACTCGTGCGAGAAGTGTTTCTCTTTGACACGAAACTTGAGTCGCATGAGGAAAACAAAAGGAAGAACGTGCTTTCAGATACCGTGACGAGCTTAATCAAGCAATCAGAAGGCACCAACCAGAACACAAACGTGCCCGTTGAGCTTTTCGTTGGCCAGCTGCGGTTCGATACCTGCGTCGATGAAACCGATCTCGGATAATCGCTAGTTACGGAAGGATCACGTTGAATCTGCAAACGGGCAAGTGTCAAGAATATGCAAGGAGATCACGGAGATGAAACTGCGATCAACAGTTAAGACGTTCAAGACGTGTCGTGCTTTGGTTAGTTTGAGCTTTTATTTATGTACGCAGGAATGCAACAGATAAAAAAGAAAACAACGTAATTTGGAAAAAGAGCGTTGCGTATGCGAAGTTCGCTAAAAAGGGCCGTGAATGGCAGTCAAAATAATTTAATAAAATCTTTAGTGCTTCAATATTAATCATCGTTATTAAAGAGAAAGAAGAAAATAAAATATTCTTGACAGTTCAAAGGAACATTTTCTTCGAACTTGAGTGCAGAAGGTATTCAACTTGCAAGTGATATGTGATTTATTAACGCATGTAACGAACTCGAGTCAATATCATGCATTATTGTCACATTCGAACAAGGAAAATTGAAGATGAAATTTTTTTGTTGAGATGTCCAAAAAAAAAGAGAGCCTAAGTTACGGAGCAAAAGAAAAAGAAACAAGAGCGTTGAATGCATCTGTTGATAGCGAAAAAGCCTTTGACCGATCTTAATTTCCCATTTTTGGTTTTTAATCGGAAGACCTTGGACTATTACAAAGAGCTGAGTCTATAGTTGCTTCAGAAAATGCAGAATTGCTTTATCGATTCGTAAGTTGAAATCTGAAACTTCAGCAGACGGAAGAGTTACTTCAACTTCGGGAAGAACTGAAAGGAAAAACAAGATGGGCGTAAGAGGCGGTTCTTTTTGAAGATCGTACACAACCGACTGAAAACGTTTAATTGGAAAATGTCATCATTAGAGATTTGGGCCTTCCAATTTTCCACTTTGATCTTCATGATTAGTTGAAAAGAAACTTGTGCAGAAAATCAACTACATTTTTATATTTAGAATGTCATTAGATTTTCAGTCCACTAAATTTAAAGAACAAAAATAATAGTATAAAAAAGCAAAGAAAATATAAACAAAATGCATCTTGTTAAAATAGTTCAATTTCATACGTAGAGAATGAAACGTTTCTCATGTCATATGTTTCGTTGACGAGGCTACTGGTAACTTCGTTTTCAGGCGATATAATACACACGTCGATAATTATGGAACTCAACATGAGTCAAACAAAATCCACAAACCAAGTTCGTATCGTTATAATGAATAATCTATTTTGTCTCGCTATAAAAGTGGAGCGAACACTTCTTATGACGAATGTTCCACAAAACGTCGAACAAATGTTCGAGGACAGGAAAACAGGATCAGAGGAAGGAAGTTAGGGTGACGAAACTCTCCAAAAGTGATTCAAGATGGAAAAGATAAAAAGATGCAGCGAGCTGATAGATACACGAAGAAAAATCATTTTATATCTTCTTGTATCGGAACTCCTTTCGATTAGTAGATCACAGGCTCGTGACATAAAGATAGCGATGTTGTTAACAATGTTATTTGGAAGATGCTATCGTTGGGATAAGTTTTTCACCTTTTTGGCAAAGCTGGAGTCGATATTTTTCTTACAAAGAAGATAAAACACGTAAAATACGAGAAGTCAGATGTAAATCCGTCTTGCGTCTTCCTGTTCCTCGATTGCTTGTGCTGTCATCGAGCGAGCATGCTCAGTGTGGGATAGTGAAGAAGTGGAAAGTGACGGCAACAAGGAACTACTAATAGTCGTTAATTGCATGCAAAACTATGTCTACATAGTATTTTCCGGAAATTATTTCTTTGAAAACAGTGTCGTGGCGCAAAAATATAAGTTTATCGAAGACTGCTAGTCTAGTATGTTGTTGCCAAAGGTATCCCATAGTTTCAAATTTACAACATTTTTGTAGATTTGTCTCACGTTTCTTAAAAATCTCGTTGTTGCGACAACGTAGAATATATTGATACTGCCAACGTCAGTTTAAGTACTTGTTCTTCCACGCTTTACAGTTTTACAATTTCACGACGGTCTATCGAACAGTAGATTGCCAGAAGAAAATCGTCCAATTTAGGAACAAAGAAGACGTACTATCCATTTTTCGATTCGAAGAAGGTATTTATTTCTTGAAGAGGAGAATGTCGAATTGAGTCCATCGTTAAGCACATCACGTTGTTTCGTACCAAGGCCACTGTTAAGAAAACAGATAGTTGCAGGCGCTTGCTCCTGTCTTCGACTTTATCGTTTGTCCAGAAAGTGGCGAGAGAAACGCCAGCGTCAAAAAGAATTGTCACTTGGTTCTCTATGCACTCCATTGGAGAGTGCATCGCACATCGCAAGCGAACTGGAAACGAGGAAAAAGAAGCTTGTGGACCTCGCTGCGGCAAGAAGAGGATGGTGTTCTTCCGTTACGTGTCTTGAGCGATCACTGTAAGCAGAGAAAGATAACAGGTCGAGTTCTTGAAGAGTCGAGTTTCGCGTTGAAAAGGAATTACTTCCAGTGTGATGGGTCAGTAAAAGTTGCATCCAGATATCCGAGGTCTCGTGAAGTGGAGTTTCGCGAACTTGCGGATACCTGCTGACTCGCTGCCAAATTCTTAATAGAATATTAATCTGGTAACTACTTGGTTTAGCTAAACGAATTTTCGTATTAATGATCATCAAGAACCATAGCTCGAAGATTAACGATTATTTTTTAAGAGAAAGTTACTTCGTTCCTGTAGAAGTCTGTGACATACTCCTTTGTTATTTACATAGTACCTAAAAATTTGATAGTATCATCGACGATTACTAAGAAGCAAAGAATCGTGTTCGTTTCCTCGCTGTGTTGGAATAAACCACTTAGAGAACAAAGAACGCAAATAACAAATCGGATCCTTTTTATAATTGAGAGTGATTCATCGGCCAACTGCTTTGAAAGTACTTCGTAGCATAATAAAACAAGGAAAAGGATATATTTAGAGATTGGAGTAACTGGTCATCTGATTAATTTATTAAAGATGATATTATGTTATTTGAAAAGTGGAAGATTGAGAGGAATTATAGGTCGAAGAATTTATCATCGAACCGTCTACCTATGGGCAAATAAATAATTCCTTCTTCTGAAGTACGTCTCGGAGATGGCTCAATTTAATTTTGAACGATCAATTCTCAAACGCTGAGAAAGTGTTGTGAAAAAGGTGAATTGAGGAAGGGGAAAATGTCAGGACCCTCAGACGAAAAAATGGAAATTATAAGATCTAAATGAATTACCCGCTAAAGCAGGAAAGGAACGTGATCTATAATTTGAAGAGCAGATAGAATATTTAGTATCGAGGAAGATTTAGTATCGTTTCCTGAACTACTCTCGTAAATGCTGAGAGACCGATAATATTCTAAACGACGAAAGAGACAGGAACGGACATTGCAATAGGAAAGGAGAGGAAATGAATCGGGTGTCAGCTGCTTCGACGAGGGTCTGATTCTCGCGCATGTTCCGTTTCTACGTCGGTCTGAAACGCGTTCTAAATAGCAAGTAGCTTGCAAGCAGGGGAAAATCACTTTCGTCGCGCGATCGCGCGACATGTGCTACTACACCCACGGAAAAATCACAGACGGAAGAGGATTTTGCTCTTTTGGTACGTACCGTTTCTATTTTAACCGGAAACGCGGATCTGTTTGTAACGTGAGAAATATTCTTGATCTTTCGACAACCATATATCTGCAAAGCGATATTTTGCTACATACACGGTCTGTCCCATTTCCGATGAGACTGTTCAAAATTAACAGCCGATTGCAGCGCCATCTATTGATTCATCTATTGAATTTTGTAGACACATCTTTCATCTATCTTCACCCCGAATTTCGTAGCATTTCCATTGTTCTGTCAATAGTTACGACATTATAACTAACCGTCCACTTTGTCAGTCTGTCGAAAAATCGCTATGGAGCATGATAATGCGCCGTCGCACAAAGCCCTAATTGTACGCGAGTTTTTGGCCAAAAAAAGCATCATAACGCTCGACCACCCGCCGTATTCGCCTGATCTAGCGCCGTGCGACTTCTGGCTATTTCCTAAACTCAAATTAGCGTTGAAGGGGAACACTTACAGTACGATTCCTACCATCCAGAAGGCTTCGACCAACATCCTGAACGCTATTCCGGCACCCGAGTACCAGACATGCTTCGACAAATTTTATGATCGGTTTCAACGCTGTATTGACTCAGAGGGGGATTATTTCGAATAAATACGATAGAAGAAATGCACTGTAGAGCGTCTTCTTTTTTATTTTTGAGCAGTCTCATCGGAAATGGGACAGACCGTGTATAATTCAACACAATGTCCTCGGATTATTTGAAACAATCTGCTGCAATGACGTAAAATAGTGAACCTAAGCTTTTTGTTAACTCTAATTACTAATATACGTATCTGTACGTGTATTATTTGGTGATAAGAGAAACAAGACAGTAAGAACGATATATTTCTTTCACATTATGGTCACAAGTTAGCTTTTTTCAGGATATAAACAAAAATGTTGTTGCTTTTCTAGTTATTTATGCCTATATATTTATTTCTTTGTTTTGTAGTTATTTATCGTTAGTAATTTTGGATGTTCAAGAACATTATTGTAAACAGACGTTATCGGATATGGTAAATATTAAATATTTATAAGCACATATGAATTTGCAAATAAATATAGCTAAACTTAGTAATACTTGTGGTGGTATCGTTCCAGAGTTTCAAATTTCCCGGAAAATTGAACTCTTAATGACTATTTCCAACACAATTACATAGAAGGATTGAGTGGTATCTCCAACCTTCAAGACATTTTGTCTTTAGAAAAACCGATGAATTATAATAAATATTGAACACGCTTATACGTAGATTTTTAGAGTTTTGACTTACAAAATCGGACATTAAAATATATTAAAATTTCATACCATTTTCTTACAAATGTACACTTTAAATCCGTGCATATATATTTCAAATGTAAATGAACTATCGAATACGTTTAATTTGTTTAATCATACTTTATTAAAACTTTTGCTATACATTTGCTCAGTAGAGTGATACGTTTGTTTAATTTTGCAATATATTGTGTAGTATTTCAATTGTCATCGTCGTTCATTCATTAAATAACAAAAGATAACGTCGACTGCAGTAATTCTGAATCTCTCATATCCCTGGGAAAACCTATAACTTGAAAACGGTTGCATACACTCAATCTAATTTCATTCATTTTGATGTAAATCTACATTTAAAAATGCAACTGTGTTATTTTAAATGGAATTGTATAATTTTTATTATACTATTCGAGACAGTTTTTTAATATTTATACCGAAGCATTAAGGGGCCTTTCTACCTTGTGGGATTTAAAAAATCGAATTTTTTTTTGCGTTTTCTTTTAGTATGTAGTCTCGAAAATATATCTACCAAATATTAAATTGAAATTCTGAAAACTAACGAAGTTATAGCCTGCTGAAATGTACCGCGCGCAGGTATAACAACTGAACGTGAATCTTTAATGCTGTTTTTCTCGAAACTACATTTTTCGCCACTGCATATGTGATAACGAAAAAACTATTTAAGATATCAACATGAAATTTATACAGTATCTTTAGAACTAGTCTCCCTATAGCATGAACTAGGATAATTGCGATATATGCAATACTTTTTCTTTTATTAACAAAAAAGCAACCGAATATATGAAAATATTCAGTATTTTTTCGTAAAATAGCTGCCATTTTGCCATTTTTTGTTTTTTTGAAAAGATCCTAGCTCATGCTATAACCACGCTCATCTACATTAAGAATATCGTTGGTTTTTGGATTTCGGATAACTTGTTCGCAAGATATCACGTACACAGTCGGGCGCCGTTCGTAAAAACTATTGTTTGTTGGTCAACAAAAACAGCGTAATCAAAAGATATTATGCGTTGCAAAAATTCGTAAATATAGCTAAATATATAATAACAAAACACGGAATTAATCGCTCTTCAATAGCCCGTCAAAAAAAATCACAAAGAAATATGTATTTTTCGTGCCTACAAGGTAGAATGGCCCCTTAAGATACTTATACCTTACATCTAATAGTTCAAAAGTTATAACACGTTTTTCATATGACATCACAATTTCGTCATGAAATTTTGTTATACTCCTAATCGTTTAAGAAATATAGCTTTTCCAATTGCATAGAACTCCCTGAATACAAGAAATAATTACAAAGATTAAGTTGTTTTATATGGTGTTATTAATGGAAAATACACAACATATGCAGATGTATAACTAGAAAATAAAGGAACGAAAATGGTATGTAGAAAAATGGGCGTATAAGCATGAGTTTCTAAAAAACTCTTAGAAAACACTTCGACGTGATTTCTTTAAAACTGTCTTGGAGAAAGAATTTGGAGAAAAAAACTACAAATTCTTTAAAAGTTATACTAGTTACGAGTATTTACAAGTAATCTATTAATTTCTTTAGTTTGCGTATGGAATTACAAAAAGTGTAACCCTTTTCTCGGGCATAATAAGAAACGAAGTTTGTAACTATGTACTTTGCTCTACGTTTTGAATAGGTACAGAAATGTAAGGATAAATATTCTTCATTAAACGAAAAGTGTAAGTAAAACAACGCGTGTGAAAAGTCACGTTGTTAATTCTTTAACTGATATAATTTAAAAGATATGATAATAATGTTCCCGTTGTCGATATACAAACAAAAAAATTTTGTATCATATTTCATCATGATTAAATGCATGAAATTTGTGTACATGGCAATTAAGAGAAAATTTGTTTATTCCTCTTGTATTATAAATATTTTGATTCGCATTTATCGAGGAAGTCTGTTTGTGTATATCTATTCACACAAAATTAGAGATATGACAAAGTTAAATCCCGACTATTTTCTTCCATTGAAATTTACATAACGGAATTCGAACAATTGTTTTGATTACTATCGCCTATCTGGATGCCGTATCGAGATTCATTAATTCTTGTAACGAGTCAGGATGAGAATCACCTTTCTTTTTCAACGGTCTAAGGTCGCGATTAAAGAAGAATTTTCCTACAGTTACTGATGTCCCTAACAGGATTTGTAGTGGTCGGAGTCCAGGGTGAGTAGAGTCTATGGCAGCTACAATTTCCTTATCTATTCTTACTGTAATGCCCGGATAGACAGTCCTGGGATTTTCAATTAAGTTGACCGGAGCAACACCATTTGCGATTACTCCAGAGTCTTCGGAATCTGGAAGAGACAGAGTTAGTCCTAGGGCAGCAAATGAACTTACAGGAATAGATAGAAAAGATATACATACTGGGTACAGTTTTTAACCGTACAACAGGTTTCTACCCGGACTTGTGCAAGTTAGCAGTTTCTAACCTTTTTTCTATATCTTTGATTGCTTGGTAATACTCTTGGATGCAGAGAAGTAGTGTCCTGAGTTTGAGCATTATGTGCTGTCTTTTCATTTAACATTTCAACGAAAAAGACTCCCAAGGAGTCAGCAGTGGTTTGGATCTTTTTCAGGGGCGACTCGTACTTTGCCGGACTAGCCAGACTTTCTCCGATCTCCACCCCTCCAATGAAGGCTTCCTGAGTGGTCTTCTCAGAGCTTCAGGATCATAGATGTCGGGGCGTGGCGTTTGCAAATTGAACTTATGGTGAAATTAGGGTGCCTCTTCCAAAATTTGACAATCTTTTGATCTTCTTGATCTTGGCTAAAAGACATCGTTTCCCTAGCCAGACTAGGAACTTCTATTAAGATTTCTGATCCCATGAGGTAAACGAGATACAGATTTTCCTCCTTCCTACTTAGAGTCTCAGTTGGAGAGGGAGGCTGAGGTCTGTCGATCCTCTCAAGAGTTGGTCTGGGTGTTTGAGATAGATTCAATGTGCGCGTGCAATTTCGCCGACAATTAACTCCCGGTTTGGAGGCGCACGCGGGCAGTCACGAGAGGTGACTGGCAGTGTATCGTACCTCGTTTACATCACGGTTGGGAAATTCTTCGGAGTCAGATATGAATGTAAAAGAAACTTCCACTGGGGACATTATTCCCAATTCCTTCCGCTCGAAACGATCTAGAAATTCACTGTAAGGAATGCCGGTAGGAATGGGAATTTCTTTGACTGATGAAAATCTCTCTAAAATGGGGGCCATCTTTACCTTGTCTCTATATAGCAGACTATTCGGATCAGACAAGAAGAAATCCATATCGGGAATAATATACCGGATGTGAATACAGAACACTTCACTACTACGATAAAGCACGTAAATAAAGGGGATAAAGGATATAATGAAACTCGCGTGTTAGTATACAGGGTGTTCGGTCACCCCGGGGAAAAATTTTAATGGGAGATTCTAAAGGCCAAAATAGGACGAAAATCAAGAATATCAATTTCTTAATTGACGCTTTGTTAAAAAGATATTAAAAAATTAAATTCAAAAATTTCAAATCATTCAGAAAAACTTATTTTTGGTTGCGGGGGGTCAATTACAATCATTTTTGGTTAACAGACATACCCCCGAAATCCTACATACTTTCGAGAAAAAAATTCCTTACCGAAAATCTAATTTGAGGCCAGAAATAGTTCCCCGAAATTTCATGCGAATCTTTAAATGTCATAACTTCTGAACGGATTGGGGGATTTTAATGTTTCGAACGGAAAACAACGCGTATTTTGGTGCAGACTATATATAAATTCTAACAATAATGAAAAGGTTGTTCCTTGACCCCATAAAATGAGGAAAACCACACAAAAATGGTCCAATTTTCAAACAGCCAATACTTCTACAATAATGAATGTTGGGTGGTATTTAATAATTGCGTGAAGATCCTTTGAGGTAAACACATATACTATATATTATAAGAAAAAGGAAAGAGATAAATTGAATCATACAAAACGATATAAGTTTAACGTAGAACGAAATAACACGGGTCGCACTATAACTGTAACCGCACACACGTCTGTTTCGCTCGAGGATCTATACGGAAATGAGGTCTATACCGCTATCTGAAAACAATTATCCTCCGTGGTGGCGCCACCTCCTATTCGAAGGAAGAGCAAACTCCTTCAATCCCCCACTTTTGCGATTCCTACGCATTTTTCATGCGCGATATTTTTAAGTGGCTTGGTTATAATGTCCGCGACGTTTTCGTTAGAAGGAATATATAACAACTTCATTGATTTTTTCCCCACTTCCTCTCTAACAATGTGATAAGAAATATCTATCTGCCTCGTTCGGACGTTCTCTACTCGATTCTTGGAAACATCTATGGCTGCTCTATTGTCACAATACATGTTGCAACTTCCTGAAAAGTATTTATACAAGTGTAATTCTGTTAGTAACATTCGTAGCCAGATGCATTCTTTTACTCTATACGATAAGGCAACGTATTCGGCTTCCATCGTGGAAGTAGATACGCCCCTCTGCTTACTAGACGTCCATTGTATTACGTTATCTCCTATCTTTACTATCATACCGGTAAAGGAATGTCTATCATCTGTGTCACCGGCCCAATCCGCATCACAAAAAGTTTCTATTTTCGGTTCGCTTTTCGGCTTATAAATAATAGCGTAATCTATAGTTTTATTCAAATAACGTAACATGTGTTTAATTTGTAAAAAGTGTATCTCGTTCGTGCACGTATTAAATTGTGACAATTTGGTTGTAGCAAAAAGAATATCTGGTCTAGTTCGCAAAGCTATAAACATTAGAGAACCTATCAATTCTCGATAAACAGTCTTCCTTTTTTCGTCTAACAAATTTGGCTGCATATTTTTGGATATTTTTAGCCCTGGCTCTAATGGTGTTGCTACGCTTTTACATTCTACCATATTATACTTTTCTAATAATGATTTCATATATGCCTTTTGGCTTAATCTAATTGTTTCGCCATATCTTTCTACTTTAACGCCTAATATATGACTTATATCACCTAAATTTTTTATTTCATATTTACTACTAATAGATTCGATAAGTCGCACTTAAACTACTTGAAAATAAAAGGATATCGTCTATATAAATAATCGCTATTGTCCAAAAATCTTTTCTATAAACACAGCTAGATGTCTCTCAAACGCGTATTTCAGTATGAAGTTGTTCAATTCGTCGTTCCAGTTCCTTCCAGATTGTTTTAGTCCATAGATCGGTCGTTTGAGTTTTACTATGGCCTTTTTTCCACCTTTGCGCACTGGGTTTAGTCTCATATATATATCCTTCTTCAGTTGTCCGTAAAGGTATGCGTTTTTTACGTCTAGATGCCTAGTATACCATCTGCAAATTACTGAGATAGCGATTAATAGTCTAATAATAGAAAAACTCGCAACAGGTGAATACGTTTCGTTATAATC